TCAAACCACTGATCTTTTCATTAGCAGCCAGATGCTGTAACCACAATGCCACTAAGGCTTCTGTAAAAGAGTTCACATATGCTATGTATCCTTCCAGCACACACCCTGAGGGATAGCAGGCTTGGGAGGCCTGTCTGGGAATCTAAACTTTAGTCTAGGAATAGTGGAAAGTCCTGGAACATGCTAAATAATTTAATTAGATGATAAAATTTTTGCTTTAAAAATATTCCAAGATTAAAAAAATATAGGAATTTATTTAGAGGCTGAACAGAAGAAAATATAAGGAGGTTATAAGGAAGTTGATTTGGAGTATCTTTAATCAAAATAAAACATTCTTTTTCCTTTTTCCTGTTTTTAAAACATGTATGGGGATCCACAGGGGTGATGGTTGGGAGCAGAAGACTGAGGATTGGCAGGGATGAAATCACAGGGCTGCACAATTTTGTGGGTGGGGGGAGTAGGTGAAGGAAATTAGAAAGATCTGTAGGGGAACAGCAGAGATAGACTAATGATAAGCATAATCCAAAGGTGATTAGTTTGTGTTTTGTTTTGGTGGATTTGTCCACCCCCCAACAAAGAAATTGTCTTATTCACTTGTGGGTTTCTCATTTGGGACTGGGGCACAGACTCTCTGGCTTCTTTATGCTGAACAGGAGCGTTGATGTGAAGGGGGAATGGGAGTTCACTTTAACACTTTATTAGTGGTCTTGGGTTGAAGCTACATGCCTTCTTCTTAAGTTAGAAGATATTTTCCTGATATCTACTGCCCTCTGGACTACAAAGTGTTTGTCAAGGTGGATCCAGTAGGGACGGCTGGCTGAACCCTGAGGCTCCATCCTCCTTTTCTTCCTTAGCTGGCAGTTCTATTTCCCTTTTGTCTCTGGAACTGGGTTCAGGGTTCAGGTCTGGTGTATAACCTAGTGTTAAGGTTACCTATAGGAAAGGGAGAAAACCTAGAGAGAACAAACTTGTGGGTTAAAAATAAAAGGGATTTGGAGTTGTTATTTACAGGTGTACTGGGGGAGAAGGTAGAGGAAAGTCGCTTAGATAAAATTCTTTTTGTACCCTAGGCAATTTCCCCCAGAGACTTGAAGGCTTTTCTCAGGGGCTGGACAGCACACCCCAAGGGCCAAATGGCACACCCCGGGGACTGAATAGCTCTCCCCAGAGGTCGAGTGGTATACCCCATGGCCCAAGAGGCACCTCTCCCCCCTTACCGAAGTCCTCCTCCAGGTCTGGACCCTGCACCTCACTGTAGACCTTAGCTAGGGAAAGTGTCCCCAGTTCCAGTGGCACCATCATTGACCCCCTCCCCTCCACCAAGTGGAATTCAAAGTAGACATCACTACTCTCCCCCTTCACAAATGGAGAAGGGGCTCTGAGAGTGATGAACAGACCCGCCCTAGGTCTAAACAGTTCTTGGCAGCAGTAGTCAAGAAATCAAAAGATGTGGTGTATTGAGGAGAACTGCAACCTTTGATATATTGTTAAGTGTCAATGAGTCATAGACAACCCATAGCATACCCCTTATCAATCCATTGTGTTGATTTTCTTCTTCCCAGCCTGTCCAAGGAAATCTTCTTCATTGACAGCAAGATGCTTTCCTTTTATCAAGTCCTTGACTTCCCACAGCTCCATGGTGCTGCTGCTGCCCCCGCCTCCTGTGCTGGAGGCCCACGGCTTCTGGCACCAGCAGTCCCCAACCGTGCCAGAGCTCTGTCACACCAGCCTTGGGGCCCAACACTCACCAACTGGTTCAGGCCAAGGGACCTGTGAGCCCTGGCCATGGTGGTCTCATGGGGTGGCGGAAATGCGGGCTCGGTGGCAGGCAGTGGGAGGAAGTGGGACTCACCCATGTTCCTTTGAGAATCCCCATCCTCTTGATGTTGCACTTCAGTCCACGCTGATGACCAGCAATCAACTGTCTGGCTGTTTTGGTAAATATAACTTGTGTGGCCTGCTTCCGTGCGGCTTGCAGAACCTCCTGCTCCTCACATTGTGTCTCTTGTTGCCACCATCTTGGTTCTGAGATTTTATTTTAGAATAAGTTTATTCTGCAGCAGTGTGGAGGCTCCATTGTACCAGCTTCGGGTTCTGGTGCCTGTCATCCATCCCAGGTGAGGGGATCCTTGGGGTCCAGCCATGGAGGCCTCAGGGAGCTGTGGTGGTAGCATGGGCTTGGCAGTGGGGGCTGGGAGCCATGGGACTCACCCATTCTTTTTTGGGAATCTTTGTTCTCTCGATGTTGAGCCTTGATCCGTATTGAAGACCAGTAATCAACTACTTAATTGTTCAGTTATCAATAAACTGGGGACTGTGGAGGGCCATGGTGGCCCGTTTCTATGCAGCTTGTTGCTCCTCCAGCTCCTTACACTGTTTCCTCAGCTGCCGCCATCTTGGTTCTCCCCCAAATAAAACATTCTATGGTGACTTTTTAACTTTCCTTTTAAAAGTAATTTTCTAAAAATAAAGAAATAAATCTTACTTTAAAATGGAAGCATTTTTTGCAGTAAAAAAAACAAAAACAACAAAATCATTTAACAGTGAAAGCAAAATTTAGAGGTGTTGAAAGCATGAGCATTCTGTAAGGAATTTTCTCATGTTCTATCTACCTAGATCATTGAACCACAAAGGATTATAGGAGACAGACACAAAAAATCATGAAGCAAATAAGAGAAAACAGTAAGAATCTTAGCGATGGAAAGGGATGGAAGCACAGGATTGTGGGATATATACATTCTATGGATAAATCACAGAAAAGATACAGTAACTTATTCACAGAAATATCTTTTTGCTAAATTCTTTATAGTGACTTATCCAAGGCACATTTTTCTATAGAAAGTAAGGCAAGTACATCAGGAAATATTCCTTTTATCACATAATCACCAAATTCAGGGAAAGATAATTAGGAACATCTTGAGCCACCAAGGAGGCTCCCTCTGAGCCATTACTCATGCTTTCAAGCAGTTGTGATATTAAGTGCACAACAAAATATGTAAATGACCCTATCCTTCAGTTTTCATTTCTATCCATTTATTTGGTTGCCAGTAAATTGATTCTGAATATATTTTAGGCATTGGACTCCTCCTTCTGTGTCTATCCTTTTTAGATTCCCTTTTGTCTTTTTATTTCAATTGGAAAAGGTGAAGTGTGATATTAATATTTTTCTCCTCCTTCTATTCTTTTATTCAGTAATTTTTTTTTGTAGGAATGGTAGATCTCAAATTTAACAAAACAAAGCATCAACTCCATTTTGACTCATGGTAACTCACGTGTATCAAGTAGAACTGAACTCCACAGGATTTTGTGCAGTGCAAGTGATTTGGTGTAGTGGATAAGGCGTCACATTGCCAACCTAAAGGCAGGCGGTTTGAATCCACTAGCTGCTCTGCAGGAAAACAATGGGAAATTTCCTCTCATGCCATTTCCAGCATCTAAAACCCACTGAAGGATCAGCTATGAATTGTTTCCTCTCAATGGCACATAACAACAACCAGCAACCCAAAGGTTGACAGTTTGAGCCCACCTAGCATTCTGTGGAACAAAAGCCAGTGAATTCTTTCTGTAACGATTACAGCCAAGAAAACAGTCAAACTCTTCTGCTCTGCAATACATGGGGTCACCATAAATTGGGATTGATGATGGCAATGGATTTTTTGCTTGCTTATAGCCCCACCCCCTGACTTTTTACTGTATATAGAGGTAGATCTTTGCTCAAGGGTGTGGTATAGTATGAATTTAAACCACCAATCTTTCTGTTAGTAACCATGTACAAATTATTTGCACCACCCAGGGAGCAAATCAAAATGTGGAAGAAGTGGGTAGAGGACATCATTATGGAGTTGGTAATTGGCTACTAAATCATATTCATTCTCCTGAAGACAAAGCTCATAATGACAGGGAATTTGGGCAACAAAACAAAAGCTTTGACTGTATAATAAATGTGACTTCAGTTTCTAAATAAATCTTCCTGTCATTACTTCAAGAAGTATCCTACTAATAATTTAATTATCAAGGAAATCGTGATAACTTTTCTGGAGAACTCATTTGTTCTTCATGAAACAGAATTGGCAATTTATTTCCATTTAACATTTCATATTGAACTGAGTAAATAGTAGTAAGAAACTGCACTGCGATCCCAAAGCCACACAGTTTGAATCCACCAGATGCTCTGTGGAAACAAGATGGGTAAAATCCTCCCATGAAAACCCATCGGAGGGTCAGCTCTGGGTCGGTTCAGACTTGACGACACACAACAACAACTTATTTAGGAAATAGATAAAAATATATAAGAACCTGAGTGTTCACTGTAATCTTGTTAGTTATAACCAAAAACTGGAAACAGAAATGTTTATAAATACAAAGCTGAATAAAGAAATTATACTACATCCTTAAGATAGCATATAAGAGAGTCACTTAGAAAGAATAAAATGATCCAATTGGTCTAGTGGTAAAGAGTTGCATTGTCAACCCAAAAGCACGTGGTTTGAATTCACCCACTGCTGTTAGATGTTGATAGGAAAGATTCTCAAGATATACTGTTAAAGAAAAATATCAGGATACAGAAGATTTAATAAGATCTAGTAAGATCTAATTTTGGTAGATACTTGAATAACAAGGAGTCTTGATGGTACAGTCAATAACTGAAAGGTTTAAATCCACCCACCATGGGAGACAGTGTAACAGTTTGTTCCCATGAAGATATACAGCCTCAAAAACCCAATGAGGGCAGGTCTACTCTGTCCTACCAGGTGACTGTGAGCCTGATTGACTCTTTGTCAGTGGATTTGTTTTCGTTTATGCTTTTATGTTTAGAAGGATGCCTGAGAAAATTATAAGAAGTGTGCCATTGGATAGTGGAGCTAGAAATTAGGAAACTTACTTTCCATTTTATACTCTTATTTACCTATGGTACACATTGTTTTTTATAACAGTAATTTTAAAATAAAGTTACAATTTAAAATTCACTGATAATATTTTGCCCTTTTTTGTGTTTTTAGCTTCTTCTAGGTTTCTTCGTTTTTTTGCTTCCTTTTGCACCACTTTCTCTCCGAGCCTTTCTGATGCCCATACATGTTTATTCTGGACTTATCTTATTTGGAACAGTGATTGCAACAGCACTTATGGGATTTACAGAAAAGCTGCTTTTTTCCCTGTAAGTTGCACCATTTTCCTCATTGTGATACTTAAGCTATGGTGTGTTAAATACTTGGTCTTTGGGAAATACAGTTTTCAAGGTCATTAAAATTTAAAAGAAAAATTCTGACCATTAAACATTTTGTTATGTTATTATATATAATTAAAAATATCACACATATAAAATGATTACTAAATGTGTGGAAGAAAGTCCAAAACCCGCAAAATATTTGCCACACTTTTGAAACAAGTATTGAAGTTAAATGTTCCTTTTCAGCCTTGTTGAAGTACATATTTTTATTCTAATTGTAATCGTGTAATTTTTGTTTCATCTTTTTTCAGTTCTGTGGCATAGGTGCTCCAGATACTATATTTAAATATTATATAAATATATTACCACAGTTATGACTTTTAAAACCTTTTCCTAGTATTCTATTGATTGGATTACAACTTAACCATCTCATTAAGAGAATTTATGTGCCAGGTCTACCAGTGTGCTGTTTAAGCAGGTACATTTGTTTCAGTGTTTTGAATGTTGCTGCTCAATCTGAATGCTAATTGGACGTGTTCTCATTTTGCTTAGGAACAATCCTCCATACAGTTCGTTTCCACCCGAAGGGGTTTTCACAAATACCCTGGGTCTTCTGATTCTGGTGTTTGGAGCCCTCATTTTTTGGATCGTCACAAGACCACAATGGAAACGTCCTCCAGAATCAACTCCTATCCTTTTTCAGCCGAATGGAGATGCTGCAGAGAAAGTGGATGTCTCCACAGCCATAAGCGTGAGCCACAACATGGACAAGTCAGATTCAGAGTTAAACAGCGAAGCAGCTGCAAGGAAAAGAAACTTTGCCCTCGATGATGCTGGACAGAGATCCACCATGTAAAGTGCCAGAACGTGTAGCCACTATTACAAACTGCAGGTTCACAATAAAACAGCTGCTGTCTAGTTGATTCTGACTCTTAGGAACCCCGTAGGGCAGAGGAGAAATGCTCCATGGGCTTTCTAAGGCTGTACTCTGCAGAAGCAGACTGCCACAGCTTCTCCTGCAGAGTAGATGGTCAGGTTCAAATGCTGACCTTTCAGCTACCAGCAAAGCATTTAACCACTGCTTCTCCCATATAGCTTAAGACCATTGAGCTACACAGTGTCAATATATATTTTAATCAAAATGTAGCAGTTTTTGAAAGGTTGTATTGATTGAAACCTATGAACATACCTGAATTGGAAAGGACATGATCAATATAAATAATAGAAGATATAGATTATGATTAGGTTACCTTTTTCTAATTAAGAACCAAAGTATTTAGCACAGTTCCATATGGAACAGGTGCTCAATCTGTGTCTGTAGGTTGGTTCATTTGGTGAACTGGAAACATAAACATCATGTGGTCATTGCCTGGGAGGGAGCCCATTAAATTGAGAGCTATATGGAGCTCATACTAAAGTTAGAGTCAAGTCATGGAAATCTGAACAGGGTTTAGACTGTGATGTTACATAGACATCATGAATAAAACACAGGAAACCAAGCTAGGCAAATAACTGCAAATACAGCTCCCTGCACCCTCTTCCCCACTCCATCTGGTTTAGGCTCAGCTTTGAGAGCAGGCTTTCGTTAGGGTGTTTTGGAGCACAGCCCCCAATATAGTCTCAAAGCTTCCTGGAGGTTGGTGTATTTTATGATCCAGAGTTCAAACCTACCTAGAATGAGAGTAGACTTGAGTGCTGAAACAGCATTAACTGCTTTGCAAACTTCAAAGGGCACTTTTCCCTAGGTTTCTGTTTCTACTCTTAAAATACTAAACCCTTTTTATATAGTAGCTCATTTAATTCCTAGAAAAATCCTATGAGGTAGTTACTGTCTTAACCCTATTTTAGAGATTTGGGAACTGAGATATGGAGAGGGTGGTAACTTAACCCAAGGTGTGGTTCAGCTTCTAAGTGGTAGAACTGAGTCAAAACTGAGCAATGATTCAGGAGTCGATGATCCTTACAATTTCATGATGCTGGTTTTGGTTCTCTATACTAATTTTTTACACTTACCAATTGCAGGAATATCAGGGCATTTATTAGAAGGGTTTGGATACTTTTTCAAACTTTCTTTTCAAGGCAAAGATCCCAAATAACTAGGGAATGGGGCCAGCGTGGAAATAAGGCATGGGCGCTCTGCCACTGCCAACAAGCCCGGGCCCGTCTTGATTCCTTGATTCTAAAACTATGTCTTGGAGATATGGGAACCTCCGACTTCCTGTCTTCTCTATGTACACATAAAAAGACAATGGCTATTGCCACTAAAAAAAATACCCACAACAACCAAGCAAAAACAGTGTCTTGGTGAGAGATTTGGGGATGAGCTGGTGTGGTTTCAGAGTGAATCATGTTGTTGTTTTTGTTCTTCAGCATCTTGACTGTTGAACAGCATTGGCTCTGGAGATGGGAAAGAACTGCTTCTGGCCTGTCTACCATGGGGTAGGGGTCAAGGTCTTTCCTGATTGTGGTGGCATTTTAAGGGACATTTTAAGTTTCAGGTTCTTAGTAATAACTTGAGAATCAGAAAAACCCTCTGAAGTATGTATATTTACTAACCCTAGTAACCACTCACCATCAACCTCCAAGATTCCCTCTCTACCCTACCATTTTCTTCTTAATTTTATATCTAAAATTGGTAAGAGTATCAGAAGGATCCCTAGTACTCCACTCAATGCCTGGCTCATAGTACTCAAAATTCACTGCTGTCCCTTCAATTTGAACTCAGAGCACCCTTCCATCAGTCTTCTGAGGGTGTAAATCCTTATGGGATGAGACTCCCCATCTTTTCTCCTGTGGAGCAGCTAGTGAATTCAAACTGCTGACATTTGGTCATCAGTCGTACAGGTTATATACTACACCACAGGAGCTCCTTTTTTGGCACATGTTGTTGTTAGGTGCTGTTGAGTCGAGTATGATTTACAGTGACCCTCGAGAAGGCAATCTGAACACTGCCCTATCCTGTACCATCCTCACATAGTAGGAAGAATTAAATTCAGTATGGTTGAGCATGTTACAAACTAGTAGCCCCAGATAGTGCAGTAAATGTGTTTGGTTGCTAACCTAAATAAAGGTTGGTAGTTTCAGTCCACCCAGAGGTACCTCAAAAGAAAGTCCTAGTAATCCTTTTAAGTCAGAAAAAATCAGCCACTGAAACCCAGTGGCGCACAGTTCTGCTCTACTCATGGGTCAATGTGAGTCAGAAAACAACTTGATGGCTATGGTAAGAGCATGCTACAACCCCAACTTGGTGATAAGTGGAAGGAGACATTGTATCATCACACAAATATGTTTTGAAACATGGATGTTTAATTACATAGAGGTCCAAAAATCCCAAGGTTGTTTTAGAGGGGACACTGACTGAACCCTAAGAATCAAGGCTGCTGTTCTATTTCATCTAGACCAAGAAAGTGATTATCAATGTAAAGTTAATTATGGGTTTGGCGCTAGACTAGCTCCATTGGAGAGGATTTGAGCACCTCTCCTCCCAGCCCTTTCTTTTCTTTCTTATGTGGGCTAATGTGAGGGTAAGCTTACAGATATTATAGGAACCTCTTCTCTTTCTCTGCCCATATGAAAACAATGCATAGTAAAATATACCAAGAAAACCCTTCTGTTTAAGACTCTTCTTTTAATGGGCTTTTTATTCTAAAGATAATTACACTTTTCTCTTTCAAAAGCTGATATTTCCTACCTAAAACATCTCTTCCAAAATATCTTATAAAAAGCCCTCATAAAGAATAGAAAGGAAGAAAGTCTTAGGTCTCAATTCCAAAACAGTGATTGAAACCTCCCAAAATAATTATAGCTTGTATCATCTGCTAAGATGGTCTGGCTTGGCTTACCCCATAATCTAATTTCAGAGAGGAAAGCTTTATTTTAACATTCATCTAAATCAACACTAAAGTCTTTATTTCCTCAGAGGGCTATTTGAGAAACTCAAGTGAGTATACTTTGTGAATTAATGTCATCCAAAATGAACAGCTTCCTGCACTCCCTATGTCAAGCCCTCGCTCCCCAGCATTTCTCCCCTTTTACTCGTGTGGTTTCACTTAAACTGTACTGTTAGAAACAGAATCACTGACCTTACAATCAAATGACAAAAAAGGCAATTGCACTTCTTAAGGAACGCTGACAAGTGGTTTCCATTTTCTAAAGGACTTTTTTAAAAATAAAGAACATGTTCACTGCTAATTAGCCTCTTCTGAGTTGGAAATTCCAGTGCAGGAGTGATGATGGGTGACATCAATGGCCAGATCTAAAAGCGCAAAGGAAGAAGTAAATCTTTAGGCTAGTTTTATGGAAATATGACAAAATTTTTATCTTGGAGCATTCCATTTTAGATAACTCCAATAGAAAACTGTTAATTGCTCTGTCTTTTAACTACACATTGGGAAATTCAGACAAGAGAAGGATTCTCAATAAAGTAGTTGAAATCTTTAAGGGTGAAAGAAAAGATTGTTTTATCTTTAGTTATTCTGGGTCTTATTCAATTTTGTATTAATTTAAAGATCAGCTTTTCTATTTCTTTAAAAAAGACCATTGGAATTTTGATAGTGGTTGTTTTGGGAAGTCTGGCCATATTAACAACATTAATTTTTCAAATCAATGAATATGAGATATCATTCAATTTAAAAAGGACTTTCAGCAGTGCTTTGTAATTTTCAGTAAGTCTTTTATTGCCTTGTTTAAATTTATTCCTACATATTTTATTCTTTTGAATGGTATTGTAAAACTGAATTGCTTTCTCAATGTTTATGTCTTTCTTTAAATTTGTCTTTTTATCAGTACCTTTATGGAAAAATATTAAATAATATGAATATTTTATAATTTGTAGGTAAAATATGCATCTATTTTTTTTTTCTTGACTTGTTTGTAAAAAGCAATAAAAATTATTTGGAAGCTCTTTGTGTGTTTTCAGTTCTCCAGACTAGAAGGTGGATGCACTGTTTTCATATTTTCTTTTCTCTTTTTTTCTCCTTTCTCGTTGTGTACTTCTAGTCAGATCTAATTGGCACAGGAGGAGATTGCCCTTCCTTCTCCAGTGGTGCATTTGGTGGATTTGAACCGCATGCATAGGGGGTTGCAGTGCAAATTCTTGCCACTAGGCCACCAGCTCTCCCTTGGTTTCCCTATTTTTCTGTTTGATGTTTTTTCTCTCCAATGGAAATGCAGGTTTTAAATATTCCTTTATAAAAATGCCATCACATTGAAAAAGCGGCGAAGTTTATTTTGAGTATCATTACACTACTGAAAGTATCAGAGAAATGTTTGAAAATGGTATTGCGCTCTTGCCATATGAGCTCTGAATTGGAGGCATGCTATAGTGTAGAAGGGGGTCGTAGATGTTGGCAATTAAAGCAGATAGTACAGATACTGATACTTTTAAGTTGGGAAACCATGAAAGAAAAGAAAAAAAGTCATTACATAACTCTTGTGTTGATATTAATTTGTCTTGAAGAAAATAATTTATGGGATTTTTGTTTTAACAAGTGAGAAAACTTACTAGCATCTAAGAAGCGGCACACTCATATCACTCTTTTTTGAATGAAATATACACACACACACACACACACACACACACACACACACACACATATTATTCTTCCCATTTTAATTTGCCCCCATTCATTCATTGTTGCACATTTTCCTCCCTGCCCATCCCTCTCCCCGAGTTCACTTTTCTCTTTGAAAAGAAAAAAAATTCTTTGTTATACAACCCTACCCCACCCCCACCATGTCCACAGACCACTTTACTATGCATTTCTTTATCTGGAATCTTGTCATGAAAATAATACCTAATCCTATATCCCTTTAAAACAGTTCTCTCCCTCATATGTTTCAATGCAGTACACATTA